CAAGAATTCATACAGAAGAGCACCGCAGTTGAGATCTGCTTCGTCTAACCACGTCGGATCTTCATATCCACGCCAATGTACCAGGAATTCTCGGTAGATCCGGCCATATCTCGTCCTCTTGCCAGTTCTCATGTTAGAAATTCGCTCCACTTCGTATTCATCCGGATCCCGATCTTGGATCCAGCTATCTTCAGGTAGGAGAGCTTCATCGAAGTCCACTCGACCTTCTGATCCGTTCAGCCGAGTTACTGGTCGATCTGGGAATACCTTGACCAGTTTGATCTTCGATACATGCACCACCGGGAAAATGCTGTATGTGGATCCTGCTATCTCCAACCTCACAGCATGCTCTCCGATCTTATCGGCAACGCGGAATGGGCCATGCCATAAGGGTGCCAGCTTTTTTGCATAACCTTCACGCACGCGATCTAGGTATAGCCAGACCCTTGATCCGGACTCTACAGGATGCGGTCGTGCTAGATCACTCTGTGTATCGGCCCGATCCGCGATCGCTTCTCGTAAGCGTTGGCTCACTTGTTCCCTGGCCTGCTGATAATACTTCTGCATCCGATACCGCCACCTTCTTGGATCTCGATCATGCTTGCGAGTGCTCCCCACCGGGATCACGGCTTCCAGAGTGGATCTAGGATCCCAGGCATGTATCATATAGAAAGGTGTTTCGCCTCGGATCCGATCCCTTGCGGTATTGATCGCGAAGGTGAGTCGTTCAGCATACTCATCGTTGATCCAGATCTTCCACATACATCTTGAGAGCCCTGGTAGTTGTCTGTACCATGCGTTCCGCAGATCCATTGGCTTGAGGTCTATATGCCATAGTGGCCTGTTGGTGTTGCCCCAGGATCCTGTTGAACGACTTAAAGAAATCAGACATAAAGCCTGGCTCCAGATCATGTCGGATCACCTCGCTCGCACCAAATCGACGGAAGACACATTCTTCGTAAGTCTCGGCTATTGTTTGAGCGGATCTAGAGGCACTAGCTTTGGCGATCACATATCCTGAGAATAGATCCACGAAAATCAGCAGTTCGGTATTGCCGTTGAAGGATCTAGGCAGCGAGGGTATATGATCCATGGCAATGATCTGAAATGGGTACGTTGCGTGAAGGTTACCAGGCGACTCGCCCTGGATCCGAGGTCTTCCCTTGCCTGTCTCACAGTCGACGCATTCCCCCAAATATCGTTGTACACTCTTGTACAAACCCCTCCAGTGGAAGTGATCACGGATTCAGTCATAGGTGCGACCGACCCCTTGGTGACCGCCTTGTAGACTCGTGTGATAGTGGTGCAG